TCACAAGCAGTTATCAAGCTTTTAATATGCATCAGGCACTGAAATATAGACATGAATGAGCCACTGTCCTAACTTTCTGTGGATTCACTCCAGTAAAATAAATGTTAATTTAAAATCAATATTCAAAGAGTTACAGTAGAGCTATGTATTTAGTAAATCTGAGGTCAGACGTAAGACAATGTAGTAGTCTTTAAGAGGATGGGATATTCCATTGTTTCTTTCTCTTTATTTCCTGGGTGACCACAGGCCAAGTGAAGGAAACTCTCAGAGCCTCACCATATCCACCTGTTAAAAGGTTTAGTTAAAATAATACCTTCCCCATTATAAATGGTACAGTTGGAGTTTTAAAACAGTCCTTTCCTTTCACATGCGTATAGCACAATGCTGGACACAAACCGCTCAACAATATCTAACCTTTATTGGGCAATTACGAAGTGCCAGGCACTGTTGAAAATATTTTAATGTATGAAGTAATCTAATCCTCATTATAACTCTAAGAGAAAAGTTACTATTATTTCTACTCATACAATTTGGAAGCTGAGGCACAGTGAAGATAGTTCCCTCCTTCCTTTCTATAAAAAATGGCCCTACCCTTTAGCAAGAGGTGAAGAACATGAGCTCTGTAGTCACACTACAGTGGGTTGGAAGACTGGTTCAGCCACTTACTATATTAAATTGGGCAAGTTCTTGTTTAATCTCGAAGTCTCAGTTTCCTCATGTGTAACTTGGGGATAACAATACCGTTGTTCAGAGGCTGAAATGAAAATTGGGAATAATATCTGCATGGTGCCTGGCACATCATAAACACCCACTTTTTGGGATTTAATGATAATTACTGTGTTTAACAAGAGGAGGCATCTAAGCTCTGCGGGGTCAGGCTGCGGGGGGTGGGGGGGAGGTGGACTCCTTGGAGGTCAGGACTGCACAGGCTACGCCATCCGAGTCAACAGGACGTTAAATCAACTCCTAGCTGAGCAGAACAAACTAGATCGCAGAAAGATCCCTCCGTCTGCCCTCTCGCCCCTTTCACCTTTGCCCCCCTTCTCCTCCTCCGACACAGTCTCAAACCCGAAATGTGTTTCCGTTGCCTGCTTCTCTTGGGATAAGTGCCGCGCACCCAGCGGGCCCCTGGGCCAGGAGCTACGAAACCCGGGGAGCCGGCAGCTCCGCATCACCCGCGACCACAGAGGACGGCTCCTGTGGGTCGCCATCTTGGCAGTAGGGTGACGGCGGCCAACAGTACGTAGTGTTGCATCACTAAAGGGCCAACGGTGGCCGGTAGGAGACAGTATTAGCCTAACGCGTCCTGAAACCCTTGATTAGGGAGCTATGCGTGTGACCTCTGGGATCCGGAGGCTACTTAGTCTTTGAGTACCGGACATCGCTTCTTCTCTCTCTTCCCACTTTGAATATAGAATTCACCAGAAATGAAGGGACCTTAGGATAAGTCCGCAATCACCTCTCAGCGTCCATGTCTCTGAATCTTGTTAAGCAGCGATATGAACGCTAACTCGCAAGATACCAGTAACTCTTTGTTTTCTGGTGCAGAAGTAGGAAACTAAGGTACCGTGTGGTTACAAGGCAAGAGATTACAAGGTCAATTCTCTTAAACTTTGATGTGCCTAAGAATCACCTGGTTTGATCTTTATTTATTTATTTTATTTTTTAAGATTTTTATTTATTTATTTGACAGAGAGAGAGACAGCTAGAGAGGGAACACAAGCAGGGGTAGTGGGAGAGGGAGAAGCAGGCTCCTTGCTGAGCGGGGAGCTTGATGTGGGGCTCGATCCCAGGACCCTTGGATCATGACCTGAGCCGAAGGCAGACGCTCAACGACTGAGCCACCCAGGCGCCCCTGGTTTGATCTTTAAAATGTAGATTACGGTGGGCGCCTGGGTGGCTCAGTGGGTTAAGCGTCTGTCTTCGGCTCAGGTCATGATCCAAGGGTCCTGGGATCGAGCCCCACATCAAGCTCCCCGCTCAGCAAGGAGCCTGCTTCTCCCTCTCCCTCGGCCTGCTGCTCCCCCTACCTGTGCTCTCTCTGTCAAATACATACATAAAATCTTAAAAAAAAAAAAAACAACCAAAAAACGTACAAAAGGCTGTTCTTTGGTGTTCATATTTTATGTACCTAAGAAATTTGTAAATGGGAAGGAAAGCTCTGGTGTCTGTTTAGTGAGTCAGACCTACTCACCACTCACCCTCCTTCTTCTGCTGTCACAAAGCTACACTTCTAGCGCCAACTGGCATAGCATGGATGTTTACTTCCAACCCAGATTTTCCAGTTCTTTTTTTATGGAAAGGGTAATGTAGACCATCTTGAGCAAAAGAGGATGGAGGTGGTGAGTTTTGCTTGGATTTCTATGTTTCTGCTTTGATTCTCTTTTTAAATGTATGTTTCCTGTAAATATTTCACAAGGAGAAAGTGCCAAGGACCCTAAGAAACTATTTTGAAAATGAAAAATTTCTTCCTGGTTTAATGTGTAGCCTGACAGATGGACACCTACTGCTTTCTTTTGGAAGAGCTGCACGGGTTTTTCTTCTTTCCCTCTCTTTTATTTTTAAAAGTGATAGAGTAATTAGAGTTCTCACATCATTGTTAAAGGAAATAAAAATTCATCAAGGAAACTTAGTATCTTAGTATATCTTCCATATCTAGTCATACATAAGAATGGACCTTGGGCTTTGGGGCTGTTCTTTGTAATCATCAAAGTAAATTTCCAAACAAACCAACATTATGTATTTGTTCTCATTTCAATATGACTTGCGGGGAAAAAACTGCAAAAGGTGAAGCAAGACAAGGACTGATGAAGGCCATTTTAAGGAAATTTAAAAATACGAGATTAGTATCTAATTTTCTTTATTCAAGTTAAAACTATTAATTTCAAGAAATTGATTGACTTATATATACATTACTTATAAATGTTTTGTATTGCATGTGATGATGGATAAGGAGCCAAAAAGGACCCAATTAGGAGAATTCTAGGATTTTGTCGATTTATTTGTTCATATAGGACTGCTTAAATTCCACTCATCCTTCTATGCTCAGCTCAAGTGATGCCTTTCTGGGAAGCTCTCTACCCCCTACCCCCAACCGTTTGTACACCTCTCCTTGGAGCCTTTGCTATAGTCAGCATTTTGTGTTGACTTTATTATAGCTCTTGTTACCATCTTCCCTTGTAGTTTTTCATCCCTACTTGCTCCCTCCCTCCCTCCTTTCCTTTCTTTTGGGTGAATGATATGTTATTTAGTCAGTTTTGTTTACAAGTGAAACTCTGGGAATTCAAAATTAACATCCTTGCTAGCGAGCTTGTTATAGACAGCAGGAAAAGCTTCACCCTTGTGTTCCACATTGTTTGGCTATGTTTTATACAAATGAACCCTTATGAGCTGGCTGCCATCCAGTTTCACGTGGATTCTCTTGCCCATAATTTCACTTGGGAAGACTAAGCCCTCCAGGATTGTACCATGCACAGCTGTCACAGTGGAACACTTATTTTTTGTACAGCTTTTTTGAGTTGGCTCAGGCAACTCTGGGCAATAAAGACATTGCACTTCCCACTGAACTTTTTCTCCAGTTTATGAAATAGCTGGACTTGGATTCTCTGGAAAGATTTCAACTGAGGAATGGGAACAAATATTATAATAGCTTTCTGACCACCAATTTAAGTTTCCTTGGCTGTTGTTATATTCAACTCCCTTAGCTGGTCCTTGGGTTTTGAGTTCATTTTCAGCTCAAGGATAGCTTAGGAGGTGCTGGACTCTTCCATAGCCATTGGGCTTCATGATATTTTGGCTTGAACCGAACATGGCCTTCTCTCTTTGGTGAGCACTGGCCTAACCACTGTAGTTTCTTATTTGCTTAATTTACTTAGGAAACCGTGAGTATATTAAAGACCTCAATCTGCATATATTTTGGCATTCCTTGTGCTCAGCGCACTGCCTGGCATATAATAGTTTCTAACTAGCTGAGGTTAGTCTGAAAAATTATTTATTCATCTCTTTAACAGTGTATGTGATCCTTCAAATCTCAAACTGCTATGGTTGAAAGGAATCATTTATAATTTTCCAAAGTACAGATGGCTGTGATGAGGTTTTCTAAGTCTCAGTGTCCATATTTGTAATATGGAGAACTGGTTATCTCATGGGTGGTTGAGAACATGACTTATTATCTATATGATGGTGGGTAACTGATCTAAACTTTTTGAACCAGTTTCCTTGTCTTTAAATTTGAGTTAATGTGAGGATTAAGTGTGATAATCCATATAACCCACAATGCAATGCCTGGTAATGATAAGCACCCAATGATAATACTATTAACAATGAAATGAAATATTAACAATGACATATATATTTTTTCTTGAGAGAGAGAGCATGCACGTGCGAGTGGGGGAGGGAGGGGCAGAGTGAGAGGGAGAGAGAGTCTTAAGCAGGCTCTGCAAGCCAGGAGCCTGAGGCGGGGCTCCATCTCATGACCCTGAAATCATGATTTGGGCTGAAAGCAAGAGTTGGATGCTTAACCCACTGAGCCACCCAGGTGCCCTGACAATGGCTTATATTAATAAATGACTTGTTAACAATGAAATGAAGTTCTGTATGGCGAAGTGCTGTAAAGTGATATTAAATGTAGGGTTTTGTCATTATTTTTGCCCTTATTGGGAGATAGAATAAGAGCCATAAATAAATTGATATTAATACTAGAATAAGAACTATAAATTAAGCAATAAGTAAACGGATTCCACAGGTATTCCAATGTTTGGATTCGTTATTAGTAGTAGTGCATATTATATTATCATGCACATTATTAGCGTACTGAAAATTAAACCTGAACTACAAGTCCCATCATCCTTTCAACGGCGGGCGTGGTGGTGGGGAGTGGGGGGGGGGGGGGGGGGGGGGGGGGGGGGGGGGCAGAGACTCACTGGGACCGGATGTAGATAGAAAACTACGTTTCCCAGAGGGCCTCATTCTCTCATCGCCACTATATATATAGTCCATCCGGGTTCTTCGAGATGCTGTTTGGCGACTCGTCGCCATTCCCGGAGCACCTCGGCCTCGGCCCAGAGGCGAGTGTCGGTCGCTGTGTCGGAGACACCTGTCCCCGACACCAAGACAGCCAGCCCTCTCCGCTGCCCCGCGGCGGGAGAGCGTGTCCGGCCGGCCGGCGGGGCTCGCGCACCCTCCCTCGCCTCCCCTTACCCCGCAGCCTCCGCCCCGCCAGGCCCGGCCCGGACCTCCGAGCCCCGGCCTCCTCCTCCTTCTCTGTCACCACCGCCGCCGCCGCCGGGCTCCACAGCCCCGCCCGCCGCTTCTCTTTCCAGTTTGAGAAGCCGAAGAAGGAAACAGGGAAAAATGTCGCCATGAAGGCCGAGAACCGCTGCCGCCGCCGACCCCCGCCGGCCCCGAACGCCATGAGCCTGGGTCCCCGCCGCGCCCGCTCCGCTCCGACCGCCGCCGCCGCCGAGGCCCCCGTTGATGCCGCAGAGCTCCCCCAGCGCCGCCGCCACCGCTTCCGACATGGACAAGAACAGCGGCTCCAGCAGCTCCTCCGCCTCTTCGGGCAGCAGCAAAGGGCAACAGCCGCCCCGCTCCGCGTCGGCGGGGCCGGCAGGCGAGTCTAAACCCAAGAGCGGTAAGGGCGGGCTCCCACGGGGGGTGGGCGGGAGGGGGGGCGACTGCCCCGGAGGCTGGGGAGGATCCTCGCTCTGGTGTCTGCTGGGTCACCCAGGGACAGCTCTTTTTCTACTGTCGTTTCCTACTTTTCTCCCATTTTTCCGTGGCTCCCATTATTTAAACACTTAATGAGCACTGTGCAGAGCGGTTTACGTGAATCCTTGCATTAACCTTGCATTAATACTCGAAACAGATTGGTGAAGTAGGTGCTATTCTTATCCCCATTTTGCGGATGAGGAAACTGAGGTTCAGAAAAGGTAAGGTCACCCAGCCAGTATGTGCCTCACGGCCTGCCTTAAGACCTGGTTTGTCTGACTCACCAGTCCAAGCTCCTAAACCACCAAGTTGTGCTACCCTTTAATGTTGAATTAGCATTGGGTAGTGTTCAAGTTTAAACAGGAGAGGGTGGGGCCCAAGGATTTTTCAAACTCAAATTTCATATTTAATAACCTGGTCCCAGATCCATCCCTCTGTTGAAGAGAACTCGTCCTCTAATGGCTTTGTTCACTGTGGAGTAGTGGTTAAGAGCATGGGCTCTGATTCAGTCTTTTTAGATCTGCCAGACCTTGAGCCTTCGAATTTCCTTTTCTGTAAATGTGGAGGTAATAAGAATTAAATAAATTAACTTAGGAAGCAAATCAACTAAGAGCTTAGAAGAATACCTGACATCTATTATGCACCAAATACACGTCATGCCTATTTCCCTGTGGTAGGCTAGAGTCCTCTTACAGGGAAGATTTTGTCAGTTTTGTAGTCATGCCTCTCAGTATTATGACCATTATGGTGATGATAGCAATCATTTATTGAGGGCTTACCATGTGCCAGGGAGTGGGCTAGGTTTATACTTCTGTTATCTGTACTCCAGTTATTAACCTATCCAGTAAGGTGGAATTGTTCATTTCTAAAGAAGGAAAAAGCCGAGAGGCCAGGAGTTTAGGAGTTGGCAGAGTCTGGAATTGAATGTTCTCCTTCTTACTTCGAAGTCTGTGTACAAATCTCTATTTTGTGCTGTGATTATATTAGCAGTAATAGGAAGATGTTTTCAGCGGAAGTGGAGATGTGTGGCAGACAGGTGAACATTTTTGAAGTCCCCAAATGTGGAGGTCCAGTTTAAAACTTTTTGAGATTTAAAAATTATAAGGCTTAAAAACAAAAAGAAAAAAACAACTGTAAGGCTGACTTGTTCAGAGTTAATCTATTGGATATAGCAAACTTGTTTACCTGGTATGCTGAGTACTTCTAGAAATTGGTTATAGAATTCCAGGTGGAGGCCAGTTGTCTTGATGATAAATGAATGCTTTAAATATGTAAGCAGGGATTAATGTGGACTTTTCTCGGGCAGTATTATGTAGATTAATTTGGGGGTTTTGCACAAGTGTAGCTTTATCACAGATTCCTCTAGAGATAGAGGGTAGTCAGCCTTCTTGGCCAGTGTTGGAACTGCTGGTTTAGTGTGGTCTGAATATTTTTCAGGGTAGTTGATAAATAACTACTTTTGCACTCTATTCCCAGATATAAAGTTAAAGATGGTGATTTTCTAGCTGTCTGAATTGTCAACTGATTTTTTGGGGCTCTCCTTTAAGCCACTGACATAAAATAATGAGTCTCTTGCCATAAATGCCTTCAGTTTATTCTGTAATGAGGCACTAGTTAAAGTTTGTGGCAATCCAAGAAAACTGAGGTATTTTAAAACATTTTACTCATTTTGTCCCTGACTTTGAATATGTTTATTAGGACTAACTCTGATTACCCAAGAGGTTGATAGAGAATTCTGTTGTAGTTTGACCAAGGAGATATTTGTCAGTGTTAATGTTTCAGATAGACTTGTATATGATACTTATTGTTGGGTTCATTCTGACTAAAGTGATTTTTTTAATGACAAATACTATAAAATGCTCTTAAAACACTTGTTCACCTTCTTAATTGAAAGCTTCTGAGGAAGTAAAAACTCCTGTAAAGGATTTTTTGCTAAGTTTTAAGAAATACACAGTGTGCCCTCTGGTAGCATTAGGTTTTGTTTAGTATGTTAGAAAGCTTGTGCATGTTTGCCATTGCCAGTGCCTACTTTTCTGGTTACTGGTATGTACCCTTAGCAAATAGGAAGGATAGATTTGTAGCTAAATACAGAGTTGATAGCCATAATCCACTGCACACATTTAGGAACAGATCAAAGGCAGAATAGGTAGATATTAAAAATGGCTTAGGAAATGCTGGATATTGGCTAACTTTTAAGGTTGAACTGAAGGGTAGCATATGCTACCTTAAGAACATTATAGCTAGCTAAGACCATGGCAGATATCATTTAGGACCTCTTATACAGTGATTTCTGGAGGGTTGCTCTAACAAAATGGTAGGCTCAAAATCAGTGTAATTCCATGAGGGGTTTCTGTAGTATTTCAGAAGCTGACCTGACACTTCATGTACTCAGTTCTGCTGGAAACTGTTGAAAGGACCTCTTGAGTTTCAGAATACTGAGTTGAAGAAAGAAAAGGGAGGGTAAGGTGAAAATACATAACTTGCCTTCTTTTGTCAAAGTAACAGGAACAAGGGTTGTTCAGATTTCAAATATTTAATTCCCCTTTCCTCTTCTTTCCCTATCTCATGTGAGAAAAAAACCCTCTTCTGTGTTCTAAACTGCTGTCAGAAATGGTCCTTAGCTTTCTAGCTACATGTTTAATATACTTGAGTCTTTGTTCCTGCAGTTGGCTTAAGTTCACGCACGCAGGAAATAGGTAAATTTAGCTCCTGGGATTTACTTGATCTTTTCTGCCAGAGTGGCATACCGAAGTTTCTTTGCTTTGGACATTCACATAATATTCCTTTTCTTGGATATATTTCTACAGCTTTGTTCCAGTAGGGCTAAGATGTAATTCTAAGAACACTTAACAGTGAATAGCCCAGGAATATAGCCCAGAGGAGAAAGGTGGTTTAGGGATTGGGAAAAGTCATTTAGAAAAAGCAAAGAAAGTAAAAAGAGGCAAGAGAGGCTAAGCAGTTTATGGACAAACAATGGACCCTGGCCCGGAACCAGGCTCTTGCCCCATTCCCCTGGGCGGGGAATGGTACTACCATGGAGGTTAAGGGAAGGTCAGGTATTTTGAAGCAGTTATTTTGAGGTTGGTGATATGAAGCACTATCCTGACACACTTCCTCTTATTCGGGTACCAGGAGCCAGGTTACTAGTGGTAATCTGCCTTGAAGAATGCTTCTGAGCTGTAAATGGACCTGGAGGTTTTGATGGCTTTGAAAATTGAGGTGACTTGAGCCTTTAATAAAAATCACTTAGAGAAGTTACAGGAATTTCCGGGCCTGTTGGCTGGAGTCCTTGGTTTATATGGCTTTGTTGGAAGTGTAGGGGGTGCTTTTGACAGGAATGATTTAGATATTAATAATAGTCTTCCAAATAGTAATGGCAACTTTGTGCCAATCACTGTGGTAGACATTTATAGAAGTTTTCTCTTAATCTTCAAGGCCCTATGAGGAGGCATGGTAGAGGATAAGCCTCATATCATGGACAAGAAAACTAAGGCTTTAGAGGGGGGTGAGAGTGATTTGTTCAAGTGAATTCTTTTTTTTTTTTTTTTTTTTAGAGAGAGGGAGAGGCGTGAGGGCTGGGGGGAGGGGCAGAAGGAGAGAGAGAATCTTAAGCGGGCTCCTTGCCTGCGACGACTCGATCATGCCCCTGAGATCATGACCTGAGCTGAAATCGGGAGTTCAGTGCTTAACTGACTGAGCCACGCAAGTGCCCCTCAAGTGAATTCTTAAGAAGTACTAGGCAGGGGCGCCGAGGTGGCTTAGTCGGTTAAGTGTCTGCCTTCGGCTCAGGTCATGATCCCAGGGTCCTGAGCAGGGAGCCAGATTCTCCCTTTCCCTTTGCCACTCCCCCTGCTTGTGTTCTCTCTCTCTTTCTCTGTCAAATAAATATATGTGCTGCCGAAGCGAGCATTCTGTCAAATAAATAAAATCTTAAAAAAAAAAGTCGTAGGCAATATTTATAAATTGCCCTTTGTATAAATTCACTTAACAGGCAAGTACCTTGGCACGTGTCATTCTTGATACCATTGCTCTCTTCCTTTTGTTCAGAATTACTAATTTCAGGGGCGCCTGGGTGGCTCAGTCGTTGGGTGTCTGCCTTCAGCTCGGGTCGTGATCCCAGGATCCTGGGATTGAGCCCTGCATCGGGCTCCCTGCTCTGCGGGAAGCCTCCTTCTCCCTCTCCCCCTGCTTGTGTTCCCTCTCTCGCTGTGTCTCTCTCTGTCAAATAAATAAAATCTTTAAAAAAAAAAAAAAAATTACTAATTTCAGCTGGATTCAATTTGTTGTCAGTTGTTTCTAGAGTAAGGCCCTATGTTGCCCCTCCGGAGGTGCTTGTCAACTACTCTGAGTGATGGGTAAGCAACTTGTTTGTGATTACAGCATGAATCAGCAGCAGAAACTTCCTGGCTGGTATTCTGACCTCTAGGTTGTGCCACCTGTTAGAACCAAAGCTAGAAATGTTGATGAAGCCAAATTATTTAACTGAAAAACTTACGGCCTTTAATTTAGAAATGGGGGGAAAGACAGATGTGTTATTTGGTAGCAGACCTTTCTGTTAGGGAGATGTGGAAGAACTGAGACAATGGATTAAGTTTTCAAGTCTCTTGTTGACACTGCGATCCCGAGTTCTGGATTTGAGCCATTTAACTAATGTAATGGTCTTGTCCATTTTGAAATGTGTCTTGACAGTAGTTCTCGGCAGTTGTTCTCAGCTCTGGCTTGTGTATCAGAATTTCCTGAGGCTCTTTTTTTAAAAATAGGGATGTGTGGAGCTCTTACTTAGGGATTCTTTCTGATTCTTTAGGTCTGGGTTGGGTCCTCGGACCCTGGCATCCAGTTTTAAAAGTCTGCAAGTGATTCTTCTGTGTAGCCAGGATTGAGAACCACCACTTGGAAATTTAAAACTTGCAGCAGAGAATATGT